AAGATAAATTTCTCTACAGCTCATTCCACAAGGATCCCAGCCTGAGTTTGGGTCAAGAGATGAGGGCAGAACTGGAGATTGAAGAGACACTCCTGAATGAAGGTGTGGCAATGAACTGTGGGGAGCAGATAGTGGTGGAAGGTGATGATCAGGAAGAATTTTGGGGAAGAGCCCAAGAGGTACACAAGAGGAAAACCCTTGTGGCTAGCCTGCCACGGTCTGCAGCCTCAGCCAGGGATGACTTAGGAAACACCTCTTCAGATGATGATATGGAGCACTATTTTGACTTCTCACGGACAATAGTCAGTTGCCCTGGGTCAAAAGATCTTTCCAAGTCACCCTCCTCTCCTTCCTCCCGACCTATGTCTCAGCTAGATGGCATTGATGACGGCACAGAGAGTGATGCAAGTATGGCAACCAATGATGATACTCAAAAAGTTGAGGGTTCTACTCAATCTCAGATCCAAGCCAACAACCTAAATAATCAAAATCTTCCTGAATCAGAAACTACAAACGGCACACAGGCTGTTCAGAGTCCGTTCCTCGAGGCATCATCCAACAGTAAGCAAACAGGTTCATCAGTCACCATCTCAGTTGCCAGCAAAAGTCCTACAGAAAGTTCACCTCAGAATGCACTTAAATCTTATGAGGCCAGTCAGTCAAATGAGGGTAAAACAGGATTTCCACACATTTCCAGAAACTCGCCACTCAAAGAGCACAGCTCTAACACTCCAGTAGTAAATCAGGAGACCAAGCTTCCTGCTCCAGCTCATGGTGCTTTGCCTAACCTGCTCACAAAGGTGCCTGAAAGCTCATATTCACAGGGTTTATTTCATGGTTCTAATTTAAGGTTTGCCTCTGAAACACCTCTTGTTCTCGAGAGATGTGATGCTAGTCCACATTTAACTCAGATGGTTCCTTTGCAAGAAAGCATGCCACTTGAGTCCCAACAGTCTGAAGCGTGTAAGCCCCTGAAGCCTGACAATAGCCACTTTGTACCATCAACTGAGGGGTCTGCTATGTTAATGAACCACTTAACAGCAAATACAGTGGGACCCCCATTAGCAGATGCGGCTAATAACAGTCAGGGCACCCTGCTGGATCTTGTTCAATCCTCTCCTTTAATCTCTACCAGTGTACAGCCCACCTCTCAAGGTCTTGTAGACTCCTTGCAAATGTATTCTTGTTTACCAGGTTTCAGTCAGCCACCTCTAACAAGTATTACCCTTGAGCCAGTAACATCCCCACAAGAGCCTACAGCCTTCCCATCCGTTGAGCCTCTGTCTACTAAACTAACCACCCTCAGTCCTGTTGGAGATGTGACGCAGACACTGCTAAATGTTGCCCCTCAAAATGATCCAGTGTTATCAGGTACATCAAGTGCATTTCTGCCAGCAGGAACCTGTGGAACTGTCTCTGTACCTGTCTACTCCACACAAACACAGCTGTTGGGTTCTACAGCCGTCACCTTTGTGTCTTCCTCTGCATCAGTACCATCTTTTTCTGGGTTGTCAACACGGTGTTCAACTGCTCCAGTCCAAACCACCTCAGCACCCGTGATTGTAAATGGTTACAGCTCTGCATCTGTGCAGAAGGAAGCTGCATCTGGTCACACAATCTCAATCAACTTCTCAACACCCAGGCCAGCTTTAGAGCCTCAACAGCCGGTGGTACCCCAGGCATTACCTGGTCATGCTATTCTCACTGTAAAGGAGGTGGGAGGCCCAAATGTGGATCCTACACCACATGTCCTGCTGGTGAACCGCCTTGGGCAGATCTTTGTGAAGAACCCAGACAGCAACACTTTCCAGCTGCCCACTCCAAACTCCCCTTCCTATAACTGTGTCACACAGATCGCAAGCCTTCTGCAAAGCAATGCACTGTCAGCCACACTAGCAGCAGCTGGTAATATGGCTGCTCCACCCCCTGTGGCCAGCATAGCATCAGCAGTTCCTCCATCAATTACATCAGTCCAGAACCCAACCACAATTACACAGCTACTCACTCATAATAGTAATGGGGCAGTAGCATCAGTTAATGTGAAGAAGCCAAGAAAGAACACAAAATCATCAAAAGATGAAACTGTCCCAGAATTGAAAAAACCAAAGAAGAAGAAGGAGTCAAATGCACCCAGAAAATTCAAATCATCCAAGTCCTCTGCACAGCCTGCTCTGTCAGCTGAGAATTCTCCCATGACTACTGCTGAAAGTGCCCAAGCAATTATCAATCAAGCAATGGCGAGCAACTACACCCCCAAGTGGAGTGGACTCCGAACACTAAGCCCTGCCTCACTGGTTTTGCCACCTGGCCTATTAATTGAACCAGAGCCTGCGGTGTCACCTCGCTCTCCATCACCAACACCAACACCTGCTCCTACACCCCGCCCTCGCTCCCACGTCCGCATGAAGAGAGTGTCATCACTTTCAGACCGCATTGTCACAAAGAAGTCTAAAGTTGACTTCCTGCCACCAGAGTCCATCAGTGAGAATGAGGAGCGGTGCAGATCTACCTTCCCAAGCATCTCCAGCAGGGCTTCAGGGGTTCGCATCAAGACCCCGACAGTGAAAGGAGTACTGAACCTGGATGAGTTAAAGGAAGAAAACATAAGCGATTCTGATAGCTCAGGGTAAGATTTCCTAAAGTAGTTTAGGAAAAATGCACTTTGTTACTAATGGGAAGTGTTCCTTAAAGCTAAATCTAAATGTTAGATGAGAAACAAATATTTGTATATATAAAGTGTATGCTGTGTTGTTTTAATTTTAAACATGTGTATTTGGAATAACATTTGTACTCTTTGCAGGTCAGAGCCTTGGGATTATATGTCTCGGGGTGAGCAAGGCAAACAGCATGCATGGGAACCAGTGGGACACAGCACCATGACTGACTGGAAGAAATACTCTGGTAAGCCTGAGTTGAAACTGCATGATTTAATTATTCCTGAACTGAGAATGAATTAATGAGTTCAAGAAAGTATGCCACATATGGAATAACACCAACTAATAGATTGGACTTAATGTGCTTCTGTGCTTTTTAACATGATTACAAGTGTGGCCGTTGCATTTAAGTTTGAAAGACTGTGATTGTGTTTTGTTAGGGGCTGCTTTTACTTCAGATGATGAACCATTGCCATCTGACGAGGATGAGGGAAGTCCAGTTAACAGAGACCAGCCACACTTAAGATTTGAGATAGCCAGCAATGATGGTTTCAGTGTAGAGGCCGACAGTATCGAGGGTAAGGCTGCTATTATGTAAGAAAAATTCTCTCAAAGCTCTAACTTAATCTAACTGTTACGTCTGCACCCATTTATTTTAATTATTTTTGCGTAATAGAATTTCTTCCAAACTCTCCCTTCAGTGGCTTGGAAAGCAGTGATCGATGGGGTGCAGGAGGCACGAGCAATTGCAAAGTTGAGACCTCTGACCTTTCTGGGAATGACGGGTGCTCATATGCTGGGACTGGTCCATGACGCAGTGGTGTTCTTGCTGGAGCAACTTCAAGGAGCCCATCGCTGTCAACGCCATACCTTCCGTTTCTTCAAACAGTTCAGCCAAGAGGACGACCTGCCTGTCAATCCCAGTGGCTGTGCCCGCTCTGAGCTCTACCTTCGGTATGTTTACCAGTTACCATTACTGTGAGCCTGAAGGACTCGTAGACAAGTCCACAGCAATGAACTGTAAACATATCAGTGGCCACATAGAAGTGACACCAGGTGGAATGGACACTGAGAGGGCTCTAATCAGTTCTGCTTATTGATCTTGAGTCATTATTGATTCTGTTCTCTATTCCTTGTTGTAGAAAATTAAGTAGAAAAGAGTACATGTGATAAACTTATTATCTATACTGCTTATCCTGAAGAGGGTCGCAGGGGAGCTGGAACCAATCCCAGTTGACATTGGGCGACTTTGTGATTGAGATGATTGCTTTATTGATACTAATCTAGATCTGACATCAATTCCTCTTTTGTCTTAACAGGAAGTCCACTTTTGACATCTTTAACTTCCTGGCTTCTCAGCATAGACAGCTTCCTGATATTGGGCCTTATGATGATGAGGAAGATGAGGTCCATTTGAAATCCACAAGGTCCAGATTTACTCATTAACCCATCAATTTCTTTACTTGAATTTTTAAAAATTATTCTAATAAAAAAATATATTTAAACCATTAAGACAAATTTGCTTCAAAAATTGCAAAACAATAAGTTCTGGATTTTTTTTGGGTGATGTATCTTTTTAGACGGGCTACCAGCTTGGAGCTGCCCATGGCAATGCGCTTCAGACATCTGGAAAGAACATCCAAGGAGGCTGTTGGCGTGTACAGGTCAGCAGAGAACTACATTTTCAAAATAATATAAATTCTGGGTAATGCTTAAAAAATGTGAGCTTTTGGATAGTCTTCAAGATGGGAGACTAGAACAACTTCCGGGTCATGCAAGGAGTGAGGAGCAATCAATTAATGGAATTGGGATGAACCCTCAGAGTAAACACCATTTATTTTGCAGCTTTAGCACTATCTACAGGCAGACATCTAAATTTTATTACAGTTGCAGTACATTCAAGATTTTTCGCATTTTATGTCAAATGTTTAATGTGAGAACAAAACTGTTAAACAACTGTGTGGGATTAGTGGTGATAAAATGTGATTGTGGAGCCGTGAGGAAAAAGTGTATGAAATAAAAACGGACAGAATATAAATACTCAAACTACAAATTAATAAATCAAAGATGGACCCAAACAAGTGAGCGCTGACTCAAACAGTACACATGCATGGAAATTTTGTTTGTTGATTGTTTTTTGCAACACTATAAGCTGTGACTCACATAGAGACTTCCAGCATCTTGAATATAAACACAATTCTATTCCTGTGTTGTTAAAGTACAACAGGTGTTAACCATCTGTTGCTGTTTTCAGATAGAGAGACTAAGAGGAAGCTATAGTTAAAAAAAAAAAAAAAAAAAACTAATCTAAACCACCTTGGACTTAAGATAAACTGGAGACTGAAATAATATGAGGAAACTCAAGGCTGCTAAACTATAACTGACTGTCTGCAACCATTCCAACACTTCTGTTTCGCTGCACTTAGTTCTTTTTTCACATGTTGATGTTTGGCAAGTAATACTTACAATATTTATCATCTTAGATTAAAGTGTTAGCATGCCAGCATTTGCTAAGTTCAACTGAGGCTAATAGGAATGCTACATCTCTTAGAAATGTTGTTTGGATACTGAATTTGGCCATTGTCCCAAATGATTAAGCTGCATGTGTTAAGTGTGATGATGCGTATTATGAATGAATCAGACTCTTGGGCTGAGCTGTCACATGATGGTTACAAGCAGCACTGCACGTTACCTTGTCTGACCCTTATAGGTCTGCTATCCATGGCCGTGGTCTGTTCTGTAAGAGGAACATTGAAGCCGGAGAGATGGTTATTGAATACGCAGGCATTGTCATCCGCTCAGTGCTCACTGACAAAAGGGAGAAGTACTACGATGGCAAGGTTGGTCAGGGTTTCATTTTCTTTTCTCAGTCTGATGCTAATGTAGATCTGGTATCCAGAGTAATTGCAGGTTAAAGTTGAGGAAGATGAGATGTTATACTTCTGGGTGTTATTTTTACCTTCACAGGGTATTGGCTGCTACATGTTTCGCATCGACGACTTTGACGTTGTGGATGCGACCATGCATGGCAACGCAGCGCGATTCATCAACCACTCCTGTGAACCTAACTGCTACTCGCGGGTGATCAACGTGGAAGGCCGGAAGCATATCGTCATCTTTGCTCTTAGGAAGATCTACAGGGGGGAGGAGCTCACCTACGACTACAAATTCCCCATTGAAGACGCGAGCAACAAACTCAGCTGTAACTGTGGGGCCAGGCGATGTCGACGTTTCCTCAACTGAGAGACCCCCTCAGACGAAAAGATGAGGATCCCGTTTACGAGTAAGCCTTAAATTAAGGTGGCACTTGACTGGGCTTGGGGAGGTGGTGGGCAGTCCACACACCACTCAATCACATGTGGCTGGTTAGAAATGATATGTGGACATTTTGTGGACTGGAGCACCTGCACGGAAAATTCATTCACTTCTGAAAAAGGTCATGCTCACAAGGTACTTCTGCCTGTGAGGGGTTCAAACGTACAGCTGGCACAGCATTGTCTTCGCCGGTAAATATTGTGGAGGATGTGGTTTTGGTGTCCATGGCAATAGGACATTTAAGGTGTGGGGGAGGGACTTCTGGATTTATATGATTGGCACCAACAGAATTTCTTTGATACACACGTCAAGCCTTATCTGTTGGAATCATTGCTGAAAACCAATAGCTAGACTTGGAAAGATTCCTTATACGTTTAATTCATTTGTGCTAGGGGTGTAGGTCTGTCTGTAGTACACTTCCAGTGATGGGAACTTCATAGCCCCATCTGTGTACTGGTGAAGTCAGTTCTGAAGCCATTCATTCACTCAAACCTTGTCTTTTATCTTGCATTTAACACTTCTCACAAGTTAATATTTTTTCAGACTTTTTTTGTGAATAACAAAGAACCATGGTGCTAAGCTTTGAAAGGTCTTTTACGTCTTTAGTTGGACTCATATGTCCTGCGAATCAGGAACTGTTTAGCTGTTTATTCACCCTGCTGAGATCATGTATCTTAAATGTATGCATTCAAGCAGTACTCTTTACATTATCAGTCTATAATGTCTGCTAAGTTTTCACCCTTGATATTATAGTTCTGCTGTTTTCTCACCTACTCTCTTCCTGTGTGGAGCTGAAAATAGATTATTGTAACGGTTTCAGTCAGTAACATAGTGTCATATTTATAAAGATGGAAACGTGCCTTTAAGACACGTTTTTTTTTTTTTTCCCCTTCATGTACAGTGTATGTAGCAAACACTACCCAAGCCAAAAGTGAAGAGTTGCGGTGAATGTTTTTAAAAAATATATATATTTTATTACTCTCATGGCAGATGCTCATTACCTATTGCAATAAGATTTCACTGCCCTAGAGTTGCACATAAATAACCATCAAACATACAAACTCCCTTCATTTTTGTGAAATTTGCTGCAGTTTATCTCTTAATGAGGAAGAGCACTGGTATAAAGCGTCGCCACTGAGCGGGTGCATTCAGCTCCTGCACCAGGCTTGTTAAGAAGGTGGTGCACAGACTGTGAATGTTGCTATTGAGGGAAACATTCAGTCTGAGTGGAGATGACAGAGTGCACTCAGCACCTTAAAATAATGTTTGCTGTTCTTAGTCGATGTTCAGTGCTGCCATTGATGCATTTAATTGAATTCACACACTGTTCAGATTGATAGTTTTATTTATTCATGTTTTGATTTATATTTTTAATGGTAAAAAGTTGTGCTTTGTATAAATGCCGGCAGTTTATTGTATTAGGAGATCTCCCCAAATTTTTTTTCTTAAATGTTTTTTTTTGTTTGTTTACAAATGGTGTCCTTTGTTTTACTAACTTACTTGAATTTTCTTTTGAGACAGTTATGTCATGCATTAAGCCTTTATGACAGAAATGGTTCTAAAGCAGGTCTTGTTTTTTTTTTTTT